ATGCCCAACAGTGGGGCAGTCACAGCTTCTGAAGGGTTGGCTGTGGGAAAGACAGCTCTTTCTGCATGGGGAGCAAGGTGCTGTTTAACTAGTGAAGCTTTAGTTTGTAGCTCAATTGAACTGGCTGTTTGGCTCTCTGAAACTCCTGCAGCAAGAGGGCTCATATGGGTTTCATCTTCAGCAGGCAGTCTCTCTCTCATGGGGAGAAGGAAGGTTTTTCCTCTTTCAGCCTCCACTGGTCTGTATTGAGGACACGGAGAAGCCAGAGTGCCTAGAGCTTGTGTAGAATGGTGTTGAAACTCCTCTGTAGAAGTGGAAGTTGTAGGAGTCCCTTGTGGAGGTGCCAGGCTTTCCTTGACACTCATATTTGCATGCATTGGTTGTTTACTTGCAGTTTTGAGTCTTCGTTCAATGGAGCTGGAAGGCTGCAGCAGTGAGGGTCCCTCTGCAGGGTATGCTATGTTGGTGGGCTTTGTTTCCAAGGACAGGGCAACTCTTTTTACACCTGTCTGGGCTTGGTTAGTTGTGGATTCAGTATGGATGGGGGTCAGTTTCTCAGCTGTTGACTCAGGCATTTCTGCCGATGGCACTAGCTCAGTCCTTAGCCTTGACTGTGGAGGGGGAAGTGTAACTAATCTAGCCCCCATTCTGTAACCAACTCCATATTTCTGTATCCTCCCCTCAGGTAGGCTGCGGAAGTCTGAAGACTGGAGAACCTTGGTGGAGTATACCTTTTCTGTACCATGAGGGAAGAAAGTTGCCTCCCTAGTTCCTGAGGAGCTCAACAGGTTTTTAGCTTCAGTCCAAGCAGGTGAGACACTTGTAATTTCCATCTCAGTTGGGCTGCTGGCATGAGCCAATGAGGTTTCCAGGCCTAATACTTCTCTGGAAGGATGTTCCTTGGGTTTCAGTTTGGTTACTGTGGAGACTATCACAGAATTAGGGGAATAAGTTTGTCCTCCCCTTCTGTTTGGAGAGGCGTTACTGGCAGCTTGCATCTCCATTTCAGTTGCCCTTCTGGTGGACAAGATAGTTTTGCTTCTTGCAGCTTCTGCAGGTTCTGCACTGTATGGGTGCATTACTGGGTTCTCAGAAGCCCCCAATGAGGGTGTTGTGGGTCCAACTGCTGTAGGTGAAGTTCTTCCATTAGTGTGCACCGTGTAGTTGGTTGTAGTTGCTTGTATACCAGTGTCAGCTGGTTCAGAGGATTGGGAGACCCAAGCCACTGGAAAGGTCACTGCATCTGTAGCACACTCAGCATCTTCCACTTCAGTCCATTCTGTTAAGCCAGGAGAGCCATGCTTGCAGCTGGCTTTGATTTTTGTGGTTTCTACAAATCCCAACTTCATTTGGGTCTTCATGGAAGTAGTAGGTTTTGTAGGAGGTACTTTATAGGATGTTTCAATTCCTGATGAATGCAGGGCTGTACCTTTATGCCTAGTTGTGCCTTCCTGCAGTCCTATTTCCACTGGGTAAGTTGTATGGTTCTCAGCCATCTCTGAGGAGTTCATTACTGTTGTAGGTTGCATCATGTCTGCGGGTTCAGTCTCTGTAATGCCTCTAGCAGGCATGGCAATGGTGCTTCTCTCATTACTCCCTGAGCTGTATGTCTGGCCACTTGCAGGCTGGTTTCTTTTGGTCAGGCTGCTGGCCCAGCTCTGTATGGAAGGTAGCAGGAAGGTCTGCTCTGGAGCGTGTGTCACAGGGATCATCTCTTGAAATGGAGACAGTGTCTCCCAAGTTGGGGCAGATGTGGTCCTGGGGGGTGCCATGGAGGTTATGGCTCTGGAGCAGACCAGTCTAGTGGTCAATTTTTCAGTGCTTGTTGGATGGAAGGTTTCTGCTGCACTTACTTGCTCAAGGGGGGTTGGCCCCAGAGACAAAGGTGCTGATCTATAGATTCTCGCACTCTCCAACAAGCTGGTGCTCTCCTCTGTGGCCAACTCAGTTTGAGTCTCCAGAGACTCTGTTTGGTCTAGAGACAAGGCCACCACACCAACTTCCATTACTGGAGTTGGCCCCTTTTGGGTCCAATAAGTAGGAAGATAAGTCAACTCCATTCCTTGGATGTTGGTAGTCTCAACTATTTCCCTCATCTCCATAAGGGTTACTCTAGCAGGGCTTGAATTACCAGAACTGGTCTCTGCAAGAGTTTTTGTGGAAATTTTAATGGTACTAAGTCCCTCTGCAGCCTGCCCATGGTGGCTTGTCTGGCTCTTTGGAGAGGTCATTACTGTAGTAAAGTCAGGCTCTTTAATGGATTCAGCTCCCAGGAGTGATGAGTCCTCTGTAGGAATCAGAGCTTGCCCCTCAGCTTCTACAATCCTCATTTTCATGGGAGGTGGAGGGGGCTTCCCAGTAGCTTCCAGGTAAGTCTTGGCGTGGTTAGACAGCTTTGTAGGCTCAAATGTCACTGACTCAACACCCCACCCTGGAGTCAAAGGCACTTTTAGTCCATCATCCATTGCAGTTCTGCCCATGGGTTCCTCCGTGCCAGCTCTGAATGGACTTGTTTGTTTAGAGGGCCCCCTTACACACTGGGCTGTTTTGGGGGGGTTGGTTCCTGGAGACAAGGCTCCTGCAGTGGGAAAGGGGGTGGACACTTTGATTTTCCCTTCAGTTGGGCAAGGTTCCAGCTGCTTTGGGATGAAGTCCATTACCCTCTCTTTGGTGGTACTTACAGTTGGTCTTTCTGGAAAGAAGTTAGGAGAGCAGAGAGGTGTGTATCAACATATGGCACAGCTGGGTCATGGTGTGCTGTGCACATAATTAGTTCTAATTCAGAGAGAATTAGTCACCCTGACCCAGGATGCATCCACACTCCCATTCCTGTGTGGGCCCTGTTCCTGCTCTATTCCTTTCCCCTTGAATCCTGCCACTTCCAAGCCTAGCTATTCTTGAAGGAGAACCTGCTCCCGAGGCCCTTCCCAGAAGGGTTGGGCTAAAGTGCTTGGAAGCATTACTGTCTCCATGTGTTGGGCCCCTCCCCAGAGGAGGGGCACCCAGTTCCTCCCTACCTGATTCTGTCCCAGTCTGAGAACATTTGTACAGTTTGTTGACTCTGGCGATGTCCGAACTGCTCAGATTCCACCTCTGCCCAAGAGCAGCATTGGGGTTGGAGAGTGGTATGATGGTGGGCAAGCCAGTCATACTGAAGGCATACCTAGAATTCAGAAAGAGGACTAATCTGTCTGGAGACCATGTCATAGCAGAGATCTCCCAAGCTGGGTCTCCTACATTGAGGGGAGTAGTGAAAGGTGACTTCAGACTATCAAGTAAGGTAACGAAGTGATTAGAAGCTTCCCTATCCAGCTTGATGGTTAGAGGCATGTACATAGGTCATGTGCCCTTCAGGTATAGGGGAGAACTGGCTCTGATCAAGGGTGGTCCTCCTCTGAAGCACCACCTGTTTGACATGGGGAGGTGCCACTCACAGCAGTGAGAAAATGTGCTTTGATAGCAATGAAATAGGCACACAAGTCAACACCTCAGTTGGATGGGGCTGTTTTCCCTGAGGTAATTTGGATCTGGGCAGACTAATACAGTGGTGCCTGCCTGAGTTCACCCCCAGGCCATATTCCAGAGTGATCTCTAGTAGCATCCTGAGGGTTGCCTGAGCACTGATGTTAGAATAAGCTAGCAGCCTCAGGAGCACGCCCCTGGTATGACTCGATGTGAGTGCTCAGGCCTGTGTGTTACCTGCCATAGTGTAGGACTGAAGAGTAATCATAGTTCACCAACATGTTGCTAGTCCAGGATTTCATGAAGTTGATTTCAAAACCTGAAAGACAAGAGGAGTGTAACATCTACTCCAACAGCCTAGAGCCCTGCCTTTGACTGGGACATGTGGCACCCTCTGTGCCATGCCAGTCACTGGAAGGGCATCAGCACCAACTCTATGCTCCTGCTTTACAACTGCAGCTCTTCTGTACTGATGGCACAGGCCAGTGGGATGCACTTCAGTTGGCATTTCCTACTTCAACTACTTGGCATCCCTCCTGGTCTGGTAGATGGGGCAATGCTTATTCTAATGGGGCTTTGAAGTTCAGCATCTCTCATTGAGATGTTTCCAGGTTTTGGAATGTTGGTTGTGCACATGCACCCAAAGGAAACTGGAGCCTGCACCATCACCACCCTACATCAGGGACCCCAGGCATCCAGCATAGGGAGCTTGTGCTAGGTTAGTAGCAGGAAGGTCCCATTGTATTCCTTTGGGAAAACACTTCCTCAGCTCTGGAGGTACAGCATGGAGACAGACACCTCCAGCATTCCCCTTGCTTTCAGGAGACCAAATCTGGAATGGTGAGAATGAGACAGCAGGGAGGACTTACCAGTCAAGATTTCATTCCAGGAAATGCTAATGTACTTGTCCCGGTCAGCCCTGGAGTGCTCATGCCAGAAACCCACCACATGCATGAGCTCATGCAGAGCCACACCCTTCCCACTTTTGAGGCAAGCAGGGGCTAAGGAGACCACCTGCATCCCACCAGTGCGTCCAACGCTGGAGAAGCACCTAGTGTGAACCAGAGACAGCTGTTCAGGAGAAGGGAGGGGCACTCTGCCAAGCAGAGCAGCCCCTACAACATGGCTAAGGCAGGCAGGCAAGCTGCAGTCATAGGGGACTCGTGGCAGCACCTGGGAGGTACACCTCCCCCTCTACCCTCAAAGTATTCATTGCTAAATGGAGTGCTCTTTCATGTCCCCTGCTCCTGTGTGGCCATACCTGCCTCCTGCCCCACTCCCAGGCACCAGATGCCCCTGGCTGTAGCTTAGGCACTGATTTTGGTTATACCAGTGTAAATCCTGCCAGACCTTGATGGGGTCTGGCCCTCTGCTTACTTTGGGCTTCAGGCATGTTCACTTTGAGAGCTAGCAGCATCTCAGCCAGAAGGGCAACACCAACCCAGCATTGGAATAGGGGCCCCATCTGATAGGTCAGCAGAACTGAAGGGCCAAGCTAACTCAGGAAACTGAGAGCCACCTCCAGCCCATCTCTGGCACCTGTATGGGCTGTCTAGCTGTTCTGCTGAGAGCTGGGGAGGGGGG